GGAGTAAGGCTGGGAGGTGATTGCCCCTCCCATAAGGGACAAAAGTCAGTCCAAGAGGACGAAACCTTGCAGGAAGCAAAGTCATTCGATCAGTTCAGAGTCATTCTTGAAGCTCTTTGTACTCTGGTTGGTTGTTGTTGTTTTTTTCCTACTTCATTGGACACTCCTGTTATTGGCAGCACTTCACAGGAAAGAAAGGTGGGTGCTTATCTCGAGGAACTGTTTGAGGTTCATTACCGGCTGGGAAAAACAAACAATTCCCAGCGTTGCAATAAACGACTTGTTTTTAAAAGAAGCGTGTGCGTAATTACGGTTTCGGAAGCCTTGGTCAGAACATTAAGCGAATCTGGCCTCTCACATCGACTCTGCTCATCAGAAGGTCACAAAAGGGGATCACGCAATCGTCACAAATACGAGTCAGTTGACCAAGCAGCTGAATCTTGATCCACCTGATCATGGAGGTGCTGCAACAGTCATTAAATATGAAAAATGGTCTTCAGTCACTTTTTTTCAGTGCCGTTGTAACTTGGAAATGGTCGCTAAATGAACCGTTGGAAGTCGAGGACTTCCTGTATTTGCACAGATGCAGCATTAATGGCAGGGGTCCATAACCCTCAGGTTCTGGACCAGTACCGGCTGTAACCTCTAAGATCTGGGCTGCGCAAGCAACAGGCACCAGTGACTGATGCTTCATCTATGCATGCGCAGAATCTCGGTTGCGAACAAGACCATTCTCTCCTTTCCTGCCCCTGGTCTTTGGAAGACCAGTTTTCTTCCGAAACTGGTCCCTGGTGCTGTTCTGACCAAGGCTTCCTGAGACAATAACCATCACACGCTGTTCCCAAAGCCCTTTTGGTTTTATTTCAACAGCTGTGAATTATATGCATTCACAGCCCGTAAGGAGTCCCACAGAGTTTGTGAATAGTCCAACGGAAGTTCTGCCACAATCCTTCGGGATAAGGCTGATAAGCACCCACCTTTATCTCCCCGGAAATGCTGCCAAGGACTAAATTGCCCATTAGCTGTACGAGGCCAAATGCAGCACAAAGTCCACACAGAGCTTCAGAGTTTAAACCGACCAGAATGAACGAAGTTGCTTCCTGCAAAGGCTCACGTCCCTTGGCTCCTCCTTGATGTCTTATGGGAGAAGACAATCACCTCCAAGCCTTATTCTCAAGTCGCCCCTTTTGTCTTAACTGCTCTTGCCTTCTGGCAGCTCTGTGCAGGCGCTCACTGGGAACAGGCTCCCGCTGTTCCTCCGCCTCACTGCTGTCCGATTCTAAAGTCGGCACAGAACTCCCAGGTGGCCCTGGCCCCATCGCTGTGTCGGACGCAGATCCCTCGTCTGAGCCCTCCCCAGACTCCAGGACTGGCCCCTGTTCCTCCCCACACTGTCCAACTCTGCTGCCTTCTCCGCAGGCCGCCAGCCGACCACAACAGGTGCCTGAAATGTTGGGGAACCGCTGTTTTGCAGCGTGCTAGCTGGGGAATTCTGGGCATTGAAGTCCACCCCTCTTAAATTGGCCACGGCTGAAATACGCTGCTTTGAACTGTGTTATATAAGTAATATATCCCAGTAATACATCCCATTCAATATGAACTCCGAGGCAGGCAAATCCCTCAAAGAACATTTTATTGGGACATATCAAATTGGCAATGTTCCTGGTGGAAAACCGGCTCTTGGTTCCCGCCGGTTTTACACCCAATTAAAAGTAAAACTTTTGTCACTTGCCCCCCCGCCCCCCGAGTCTCCAATCAGCGTACAGTCCAGGGTTGACACTGCGTCTTCAAAATTTCATTTTGATTTCATTTCACAGTTAAAAAAAAGTGACAGTAAAGGTTGTCCTGTTTTTGTCTTGGTCTTTATCTTGTCCTTAATCTTTGTCTTTATTCTTGTTTTGTCTTTGTTTGTGTCTTGGTCTTGGACTTACCTTTGTCTGTTCTGACGTAGGCTTCCCAAAATCACGAAGCAGACCCCTTGTCCCAGCAAAACCCCTTTTATTTAGGCCAATGTCCAGCAAAGTCCTGGCAAACAGCCTTTCAAGAGTGATTTACAACCACAGACCTTTATCAGGCTTGGAGGGTTGCCAGGCCGACAGCTTCCAAACGTCACGCTGTAGCCGACAATACTTGGCAAGAATACAGGCACAGATCTTCACCCTAATGAATTGAACTAATTGTCTTCCGCAAAGCCCCACTCCCCTTTAGCTCCTCTTTTATTCCCTAGGGGAGGGGCCATTCACCGTCCACCTGTGGCTTTACTCCCGAGTGAATCTTGTTAGCTGTTCCCTTCATCTGGCAGCTCTGTGCATGCACACACTGGGAACAGGCTCCAGCTGTTCTTCTTCCCCACCGATCGCCGACTCCGAAGGCAGCTGATAACTGTCGGAGGGTCCTGGACCCATCTCTGCTTCCGACGCAGAGCCCTCATCAGAGCCTTCCCCAGACTCCAGGAGTGGCCCGTGCTCCTCCCCAACCTCCTCACTGTTCGAATCTGCCACCGCTGGTGGGCCACAACAAGTCTTTATTCTTGTGTTGTCTTTGTTCTCGTCTTTGACTTCAGCAAGCATCTCTATCCGGAGCAGGCAAGGCTGCCATTGTGACATCACACTCACCCCCCGTTTCCCTTCTTTTGTCTTTCCCAGGTGCACAAGGCCAACCCCATCCGCAAATATGCCAACGTGGAAATCAAGCCCAGCGACCACCCACTGACCGTGCCGCAATCTCCCAATTTCTCCGATAGGTTTCAGCGTTGAGCCCTGACACCCGTCCGACTGCACACTCACAAACTTCTTTTTTCTGGTCTTGTTTTTATTTTTTTGGAGACTTCTTGTTCCCCCTCCCCCCAAGTTCTCCCCTCCCAAAAAAGCAGCCCAGTTTGATCGTTTTATCGTACCTTTGAATGAGTCTTTTGTATTATGCATTAAATAAAAAATATTGATGAGGGAAATTGGACCCTGGAAAGGTTTCTTTCGGCCATTGTGGAGAGGGGGTAGAAGCTGTTATATTCTGTCCTCCTGGCGGCAGGGCGTACGCCATGCTCCCACCATCACCACCACCTAACCCTTTTTTGTAAGCAGCCTCTCGGCTACGGATTGCGAAGTCAAAAAGTGTTTTGTGAGTCCTGGAAGTGTGTCTGTGTGTTGTCTGCATGGCTGATCAGGCAGGGGTGGTTTTTCTACTGGTTCGGACCGGTTTTATAAAACCGGTTGTTACAATTCTGCGCAGTTTCGGAGAGCCGGCAAATTGTGCCCCTGGCTGGCCCTGCCGCTCTCCGCTCTCCCCCCCCTGCGCAGTCAGTCCATATCGCGCATGCGCAACCGATTATGTTCTCCCCCTCCCAGTCACTCCTTAAGGCCCTGATGGTGAACCTATGGCCCACGAGCTGCAGGCAAACTTACCTGACTGCACATGCACGTGCTTCCCAGCTGATTTTCGGCTGGTTTGAGGCCTTTTTCGGCCTTCTGGAGGCTTGGGAAAAACCTCTGCGGGCTGAATAATAGGCCCATTTCATCACTTCCTGTTAATACCGGAAGTGACAAACAGGCCTATTCGGCCTGCAGAGGCTTTTCCCAAGCCTCCGGGAGGCCCAAAAAGGCCTCAAATCAGCCGTGAGACGCAGTGTAGGTGGGGATTGTGCATGCATGCTCAGGGGGTGTGTCGGGGCATGCATTGCCTTCCCGGTGCTGGCCCATGAGCGCCGGAGTGCCAGTGCACACCCAATTTTGGGCACAGGAGCCCCAAAAGATTAGCCACCACTGCCTTAAGGTATTTCTTTCTTTTTTTCCCCCCCCGACAATCAGCTGTTCTGACCATCAGCTGTGCCGGGATCCCCCTCGCTATCTTACTGCTTCGCCGAGGAGGCAAAAAGGGGCGTGGGGGTGTATGCAAAAAAAAGAAGAAGAAGCCACACCCACCCAGTCACCTGGCCACGCCCACAGAACCGGTTGTTTAAAAAAATTTTGATTCCCACCCCTGTGATTAGGACTTCCAGTGAAACCTCCCCTTTCATTCAGCACTCAGAAACAAGGTCAAAAGATTAAAATTAAAGACGTCATACCGGCACGTGTGGGAAAGCCCGAATCTGAGAGTTTCTGGGGTTTCCCTCCATCATGGAAAAATGAAAACCCATCCTCCTGCACCACACACCCCCAGTCCATCCCATGCTCCAAGCACCCATTGTCCCCAACTGGAGGCATTCCTCCAGCCACTTCCTTTCCAGGTGCAGGGTGACTTGTCCTTGACTTTAGGAGAAGAATGTTATGTCTAAACTTCCCCACCCCTTCCCAAATTGCCAGGCACCAAGACGCGGCAGCGAGGAAGCTTCTGAGTAAAATATGGCTTTCAAAGCTGACCCTAAAATCCTCCGCAGTACAGCTAGGCCTCGACTTAACAATAGTTCGTTTAGTGACTGTTTGAAGTTGCAGCATCACTGGAAAAAAAAAGCGACGTAGCACCGTTTTTTCCACCCTTAGGACCGTTGCGGCATTCCTCGTGTTCACGTGGTCCAACTTCAGAGGCTTGGCAACTGGCCTGTACTTACAACGGTGGCGGTGCCCTCGGCGGGGTGTCACACGATCCCCTTTTGCGGCCTTTTGACAAGCAAAGTCAAGGGGGAAGCCCACGAGTTCACTCAACAACCGGGTTACTCACTTAACGACTGCAAATGATTCCCATAATCACGGTGTCAAGAAAGGTGGTCAATCGGGGCAAAGCTGGCTGAAGAAATTTCTCGCTTCGTAACATAAACGTTGTGTCCCATGGCGGTCATACTGTGAGGACCCAAAGGGGCATGGCACAAAAGCAACAAAGACACAAAAGTGGGTAAAGTCCCTTTAATGCCTCCAACTTGGCCCCCAATGTCCAGTTATCATTGGCTGGAGAAAAAAACTCTCCCAAGAACAGTTTTTAAAGGGAAGAAATTCCATTGGAACCCAAAATACATCTAAATTATAAATAAAAAACCAAGACAAACCACAAAGCTGCAGCCATTAACGAGACAGGGCAGGATAAGGGATTGCAGAACTCAAAAGATAATGAAACACACACAGTTGGGAGGACGCCAGAACCCAGATAAGACATGACAAACAAAGATAATGCCTGCTTTGTTTCCAGCAAGGTGCTGTGCACAAACGCCCTTTAAATCCCGTTTCCCCAGCTGCAGCTAATGAAGGGAATCAGGGCCCTTTTCTCCCCCGTAACCGATGTAACACACTTGCTCCCTTCTCTGTTCCTCCTTGCCTGCCCTAGGATGAAGAGGGGATGGGCCTGGGCCTTCCTCGGAATGCCCTTCCCCAGTTTCCTCCCCAGTCACCGAAACCACACTCCCATTTCCCTGTCGGCTGCTTGACCTCCCCCTCGGAATCAGCTTCCAACAAGGGCATGACGTACGTCAAGGACTACCTGCATTTGCGGAGTTGGCGGGGCTTCCAACGATGTGCATTCTGCCTCCTCTTTGGAGGGTGGGAATCGAGTCATAATTCTAGAAGCCTCATTTGGGGGGCGAAGGGGGAATCCGTAGCAGAGCCCTGCCTCTGCGGGTTGGGACAAACTCTTTTTATTTTTTAAACAGTTTTATTAATTTTAACAACAAACAAAAACCTATATGACATAAAAACATCATCCTTTCCTTCATGAGTTTACAGACAGCGTATCGGTTGGTTTATCACTTTTTTCTGTGCATCCATTTCCTAGTCTGCATTGTAGTTATATTGCATCGTAGCTCATATTATCAATCAACAATTATATAGCCTGATATCCTCATTAAACAATCGTTTGACTATAATTTTATTAAGTCATACTTTAGCGTGATCACTATAGTTTACTTAATTTATTTTATAGCAAATCATCAAGTCATAGCAAGTCTATCAGAATAAAATTTGAGAACAAACTCTTTTAAGAAGAAGAAAATGTTTGTAGTTGAACTGTGGGGTGCTTGGTGCTCTCGGAGCTTGGTGGATTTTGTAAAAAAAGGATTTTGTAAAAAAAAATATTGCATATCCCCGGGTAGCCTCATCAGGACTCAAAGGGAGTGGGGGTTGTGGCGAGGAAGAGGAGGAGGAGGAGGAGAAGGATCATGGGTCCTTGGTGCTCTCTGAGATGTTGGCTTTTTTTGCAAACATTTCATGACCCAACGAGGGAACATTATCAGTGGAAGAAGGGAGAGGGGTTTGTGAAGTGGAAGAGGAAGAGGAGGAGGAGAGGAGGCAGAAGGAAGAGGAAGAAAAGTGCTATGGGGTCCTTGGTGCTCTGAGCTGGGTGGTTTTCTTGCAGACATTTCATGACCCAGCTAGGTAACGACGTCAGTGCTAGAAGGGAGTGGGGTGAGGAGGAGAAGATGAGAAGGGGGGGGGAGGGGGAGGACTGTGGGGCCTTTGGTGCACTTTGAGCTTGGTGGTGAACTTGCAGATCCCTCTATGTTTTGTCCTGTATTTTCCTTCCTTTCTTCCTCCCTCCCTCCCTTTTTGTCTATTTTCCTTCCTTTCTTCTTCCCTCCCTCCCTCTATTTTTGTCCTCTATTTTCCTCCCTCCCTCCCTCCTTTCCTTCTTTCCCACATCAGCTGCAGGCAGCAAGAAAAAAGATTGAGAAAGTATGCAAAGGATTCTTGAAAAAAAATAAAATAAGTGGTGTCCCTGCCAACTTGCACAAAACCTCTTTCTTCCTGCCTCCCTCCGTCTGGCAGGAGGATTTCCAAAGGTCTCCTCCTGACCCCCCCACCCCACCCCCGATAATGAAGAGCAGGGAGGCAGCTGGGCCAGACTTCTGGGAAAGGATCTGCGCAGGTTCTTTAGCCAAGGCCCCCCCCGCCCCCCCAAAAAAGGGGAGATGGGAGAAGCGAAGGAAGAAGTGAAGATCTTCCTCAACTCCCAAAGCGTCTCAACGCTTAGAACGTCTCAAGCTGTCTTCCCTTGGTGGGAAAGAAGGAGGAGGAGGAAGAAGGAGGAGGAGGAGGAGAAGAGGAGGAGGAGGAGGAGGGGAGGAGAAGGAGGAGGATGGTGTGGTGTTTTGTGCTCTCTAAGCTCAGTTGTTTTCTTGTAGACATTTCATGACCCAACCAGAGAACATCATCAGTACTAGAAGGGAATGGGGTGTGCAGGGATGAGGATGGGAGGAGGAGGAGGAGCAGGAGCAGGAGCAGGAGCAGGAGGAGAAGAAAGAAGAAGAAGAAGAAGAAGAGGAGGAGGAGAAGGAGAAGGAGAAGG